CAAAGGCTCAAGTTTGGGCTGCTCGTGGACCCGGAGGGCACGCAGCGGAAGGTGATGGCCGCCGCGTCTGGGTCGTGGGGGCGTACGACAAAGCCCATTCGGCGCATGCCAGCCTTGGCGATGGGGAGGTAGATGGCATTCGGCACGAGCCTTCCGATCGGAAGGACAAAGGCGAAGACGGCGCGGTACACGAGGGAGGGCGTCTTGAGGGCGAGGCGCAGCGTGGGGTTCACCGAGGCTTGCAGGCAGAGGGGCGGGGCGAGCAGCACGAGGCATGCCAACCGCCCGCCCAAGCCTTCGCGCAGCGAGCAGGCGGTGATGGCGCTCGAAGCGCCCTGCGACTGGCCGATGAAGATGACCTTGTCCGCCTGCAGCCCCTCGGCGTGCGCCACCTCGAGGACCGCCTGCACAGACGCGGCGATGTCTTCGCTCGCCAACTCGTCGTTTCCCCAGCTGTGCATGCGCGAGCCCCACAGGCCCCACTGCCCGCTCGAATATGCGTTGCCCCGTGTGTTCCCGAGCCACACGTCGTACCCTCCCTCCACCAGCCGGTAGGCCAGCGAGCTGCGCCGGTGCGCTAGCCACACCGTCGACTCCTCAAATAGGCCGTGCATCAGGAAGACGGGCCGTCGTTTGGCGCGGCGACCGACAAGGCGGTGCAAGAGCAGCTCGTACCCGTCCCCGGTCTGCACAATGTGGCACTCCACAGCTAGGCCGACTTCCGCGGCGAGCCGCTCAAACGTCGACGGCAGTGAAGAGAAGCCGCGGTCAGCGCCGGTGCACATGTAAATCAGCCAGTCCACAAGCTGCAAGGCGCTGTCGCATGTGCCCCTGCGCTTCGCATGGTCGTCCAAGAGGCGAATGCTCGACACACGCATGGCCGTAGACTGGTGCCCGGACGGAAGTAATTTCGGCGATGAACGATGAACTTCGCGTCGCACATCGGAAACAGAAAGAAATTCGAAATCCAACGACACGAGCTGGTTGCGCAGCGCCCTCAACCTGAGCACTCTCACCGTCCGTTCTCCGCTCCGCGTCGACTCCGCCGCCCTGGTCTGCGTATGCTTAGATCTATCGAATGGAGGGCGTGGCCGCGAGGGCTGCAAAAAGACTGGAAGAGAAAAAGAAGAAACTCGAACCACCAGCCACACACCTCCCCACGCCTCCCCACACCTCCCCACACCTCCCCACACCTCCCCACACCTCCCCACACCTCCCCACACCTCCCCCCAGTAGCAGTAGTAATGGTAGTAGTAGTGGTAGTAGAAGTAGTAGCAGTAGCAGTAGCAGCAGTAGTAGCAGTAGTAGCAGTAGTAGCAGTAGTAGCAGTAGTAGCAGTAGTAGCAATAGTAGTGTGCATGCGTGGTCTGCCTGCCTGCCTGCCTGCCTGCCTGCCTGCCTGCCTGCCTGCCTGCCTGCCTGCCTGCCTGCCTGCCTGCCTGCCTGCCTGCCTGCCTGCCTGCCTGCCTGCCTGCCTGCCTGCCTGCCTGCCTGCCTGCCTGCCTGCCTGCCTGCCTGCCTGCCTGCCTGCCTGCCTGCCTGCCTGCCTGCCTGCCTGCCTGCCTGCCTGCCTGCCTGCCTGCCTGCCTGCCTGCCTGCCTGTCTGCGTGCGCGAATGATAGTAGCCGTACCGCCTCCCGCCTCCGCCGCCCGCCCGCCATCGCCCTCGCCTTTCACCTCCCGCCGCCTCCCGCCGACCGCCACGCCAGCTCGCCCTGTCGTCTCGCCTATCGCCCGCCCGCCCTCGCCCTCGCCCCCTCCTCCCGCCACCACCCTCGCCTCACCCTCCCGCCGCCTCGCCGCTCGCTCGCTCGCTCGCCCGCTCGCGCCTGGCTTTCTACTTCCTCGTGATCGCCCGAATCTCTCCTTCCTCGTGATCCACCCTCGCCTCACCCTCCCGCCGCCTCGCTGCTCGCTCGCCGCTTGCTCGCCCGCCCGACTTTCTACTTCCTCGTGATCCGAACCGCCACCACCCTCGCCTCACCCTCCCCGCCGCCTCGCCGCTCTCGCTCGCCGTTCGCTCGCCCGCTCCCGACTTTCGACTTCCTCGTGATCCATCTCGCCGTTCGCTCGCTCGCTCGCGCTCGACCTCCTACTTCCTCATGATCCACCGCAGCCACCCTCGCCTCGCCCTCCCGCCGTCTAGTCGCTCGCTCGCCGCTCGCTCGCACGTTCGCGCTCGACCTTCTACTTCCTCGTGATCCACCGCCGCCACCCTCGCCTCGCCCTCCCGACGCCTAGCCGCTCGCCTGCCGCTCGCTCGCACGTTCGCGCTCGACCTTCTACCTCCTCGTGATCAACCCGCCGCCACCCTCGCCCCCCGCCGCCTAGCCGCTCGCTCGCCGTTCGCTCCGCCGCTCGCGCCAGACCTTCTACCTCCTCGTGATCCACCCGCCGCCACCCTCGCCTCGCCCTCCCGCCACCTAGCCGCTCGCTCGCTCCTATCCGTGCCACGCCTATCCGTGATCCTGCCGTTACCGCGCCGTCCTTGCTCCTCCCTGCCGTGCCGCTCCTTCCTCCGTGCCGCGCCGCCCTTGCCGTTTAGCCCGCCGCCCCCCCTGCCGTCCGTTACCGCCGTGCCGCCGTACCGCCCACGCCGCCGCCGCCCTCCACCCCCTCCACACCGCCGCCACCGCTGCTCACGCCGCCGCCGCCCTCCACCTCGCCCACGCCGCCGCTACCCTCCACCTTCTTCCCACCGCCGCCGCCGCCGCTCACGCCTCCGCCGCCTTCCATCTCGCCCACGCCTCCGCCGCCCTCCACCTCTCCCATGCCGCCCCCCCGCCCTCCACCTCGCCCACCCCTTTGCCACCACCCTCTCCTTCGCTCACCCCTTTGCCACCACCCTCTCCTTCGCCGCCCCTCGCCCCCACCGTTCTCCACCTCCACCCCTCACCCTCCCCCCGCCCTACCGACCCACCCACCGCCCACCCATGCCAACTTCCGCCCTCCCGCCGCCCTCCCCCCTTTCTGCCCCTCCGCCTTCACCATCCCCCATCTGTGCATTCCACTCCGTTCGCTCCCTCCCGCTTGGCGCCCATCCCACCCTCCGCCCTCGCCCTCCGCCCCTGCCCTGGCTGGCCTGGGTGGCAACTCCTCATCATCACGCGCCAAGTGGGAGGGAAGTGGACGGGGCCCTGAGCCGACCTAGCCCCAGACGGAACGGGGCGCCCAACACGTGCCCGGATTACTGTGCCTTCCCCGGGTGCAGCCTTTCGGTTCGTGAAGGGTCGGTGCGTGTCGTGACCCCCTGGAACACCCGTACCCCCGCACCATCTCCGTCGCTTGGTTCCATAACCTCTGCCACCACCGGGAGGCGGCCAGGGCTTCATAGACTCGGTCGAGAGACCCCAGATTGGCATCCATGCCTCTCTGGACAGGGTGGCCCGCCACAACGACCCCTGGAATTGCGACTCGCCGCTTTCCTCCCGCTGTGATTCTGTGTGAGCTCTGTCTCTTGATTTGCCAACAACATACCTAAAACCAGCCCGACGCTCACTACAAGTGTCCGGCGCCGATGAAATCGGACGGCCGAAAGAACGCGGCGCTCATCGCCGATCAGCACCAATACGCGCACGAATTGCCGAACGGACGATGTTGGTGAAGCGCGTTGGCCTCCTCCTCCTCGCGACTGTGTCGCCGCCGGCGGTGCTCGGCAGCCACGGTGGCGAAACCTGTGAGTCAGGCCGGGACTACCCGGACAATCCCCCTGGTGCCGGTGAGCGTCACTGCATCCTGTACGAAGACTGCAACGGCAATGGTGCGTACGATATCGACGAGCCGTGCCGTGATGGGCGGCGAGCGCCACCCGCGCCCGTCATTGGCGCCTCGGTCATGCAAGACCCGCACATCGACCTGGCACATGACGGCCATGCTGACTTCCGTGGCAAGCACGGGTCGCTCTACAATTACATATCGACTCCGGGACTGAGCGTGAACGTCCTCTTTGAGGAGGCGTTGTACACGCTGCACGACGGGAAGCTGCTTGTCAATGGCACCTACATGACGGAGGTTCACGTCACTACGCTGGTCGAAGGCGAAAGCATGTGCAAGTGGGCCTACGTGAGCTATGTCGCCTCAGAGCTGAACGGTTCATGTCCTCTGCGCCCACCTATGCGCCAGCACTCCTCTCACACGGCCCGCTGTCTATCTGCTGCAGGGCAGAATTGGGGCTGGAGCAATGTCAAGGTCAGCTGTGGTGGCAACGAGTTCGCGCTCGGTCCCAACGTACGCCGCCGCTACCCCTCGGCCTTTCTCCCCTTCTCTCGCCCATCCCCCGACCCCCCGCCGGCTCGTTAGGTCAAGCGCGCTTGCGGCGGGCTGCACACCTCGGTCAAGATGTCCACCGCCAACATCACCGTGGCGCCGTTTGAAGGCAGCACCGAGGCGGCCCCCTGGAAGATTGTAGTGCATGGCGACTCCGTCCACGATCGAATCGCCGGGCCAGAGCACAGGGTCGACATCGAGCTCTCCTACTCTCCGCAGACGTCGGCGCCGCTGATCGCTCACGGCCTCATCGGCCAGTCGTTTGCTGACCCCTCGCCGCGCATCGGACGCCTCGACGTCTACCCAAACGAGGGGACCTTCACGACCACCGCGCAGGCTGAGGGCGCCATCGAGGGCACGGCCGAAATGTACGAGGTCAAGTCGCCGTTTGAGACCGACTTCGGCTTCTCTCTGTTTGCGGGCGAAAGTTCGCACAAGGGCACCGCTGAGGCGGCGAAAGCAACCTGTGACAAGAAGGTCGCGGATGAGCTCGACGGCCTCAACCGGCAAGGCAAACTCATGGCCATCCGCCCGTGGTGGAAGGAGCTGACGCGCTTCATCCAACGCGAGGCGGCGCCGCCAAGCATCGTCGCACGCGCTGCGTCCATCGAGGTCCAACCCGGCGAGGGCTTGCTGGAGGCGCACCGCCGGCTCGCGGAGCCGGCTTCGTCCCGCGCAGGGTAAGGGACGGACGGCTCCTCGATGTCGCCTGCTCCTCGGGGTGGCGCAGAGCTGCTCCGGCGAGAGGCCCGAGACGCGAGCGCCGATGCGGTGGGCGGCTATTGAGGAGAGCAGGCAGCAGGCGCGGATGTTTCTTTTGGAAGAAGAAATTCTTCGTCAGGTACTGCGTAGCCCGTAGCTCTTCCGTTGTGGAGGCACGCGACTCCAGACTGACCCTTTACGCGCCAATGTATCACACCTCACGGTGCGGGTGCTTGGGTCATGTGGAGAAGCCGAGATAAACTATTTTGCTGGCGGGGTGACGGTAGACCACCACTGCGACAGCCCCCTCCCGACGGGGACACCACCGCCCTCGCCCAGGGATCTACAACGCTGTCTTAAGGTCCGACAGGTTCGGCACCGGGCACCGCCTCGGTATACAAAATGCGCCTGCGGGCGGACCCTTACAGATTACAGATTCTTGCTCATAAAATTCTTCTGCGCCGTATCTTACTCGAGTACAGAGGCTTTGTATTGCTCGTCGGGCCGTGTGCCGCGCTACCTCTTGTATCGTAGTCTTTGTTAGTATCGAGGTCTCGTGAGTTTTGGCACTGATAAATTCGCGCGACTCGCGGCGAGCCGAGCCAGGCCACGGCGCTCGGCCTGTTGAGAGAAGACCTTCCCCGACGGCAGTGACAATTTACCCGACATCAATCGTCGACGGCAAGCTCGAGAACTGCGCCTCCAAAGTCGCCCAGATTCGCCTCTCGCGGCGCGCTGAGTTAGTATCGCCGGTGCGCCAGCCGGCTCTGCTCCACAGCAGGGCATGCCTGACTGGCTCCTGCTAGCCGTGCGTCCTGGTGGCATCCATTGCCAGCTCAGGTAGCCTCAGGAGGTCGCCTCGCGCACAACTCGGCGCCGCACAGCACCGCTCCGCGTTACTACCGAGTTAGTATCGTCGACCCACAGAGACTGCTCTTCTGTAGGTGGAGCCGACAAACGCCGGCCGGGTCGGCCCCGCCGCCCCCATCGCCGCCGCCGGGGCGGCGGCGGCCTCGGCGGACCATCCGACGCGCCGCGCGCCCGACGGGGAGGTGTTCACCACTCCTGGCTCCTCACCCCGCCACGCCTTCGTGCAGACGCCGTGGCACCCACCTCAGGCGCCGCTCGGACTCGGTTGACGGCCGCCCAAGTGCTTGGCTCGTGCCCAGCCGACCGGCAGGCGATGCCCACTCGCTGCTAGGCTAATCTCGGGCTGTCAAGCGGCGGTGTGGTGCCGTGAAGGGCAGCGGTGCCAAAACTACGACTATTAGTACCGTGCGGGGGCAGTGCATTTAATTCTGTCAAAAATCGAAATGTGCTCTGTGGGACGTATTGGGCTAGGATCATGCGTCCGGGAGGCCCCCCAAGCGTGCCGCAACGACCCACAGTGTTGGTACCACTCTGTTCACGTTCACAGCTCTGAAGTGTGCCATAACGATACAGGAGGTAGTGTGGCCGGACACTATACACACCAATGTTGACCGCTTTCGTCCTCTTGCTGTCGGCCGCTGTTCTCCTCTACCTGCTATTCCTCGCCTGGCCGCGCTGCAGCCTCCGCTGCCACGCTCTGGCGCCCGGCGCACGCGCGGCGCCGCTCGCCGGGACGGCATGCCTCAAGGAGGGGTTCGCCTCCCGCAAGGTGCCCGAGCAGCTCGACACGATTGTCATCGGCTCCGGTGCCGCCGGCCTGACAGCGGCGGCGCTGCTCGCCAAGCGCGGGCAGCGCGTGCTTGTGCTTGAGCAGCACGACGTGGCCGGCGGCTGCACTCACACGTTCGAGGAGCGCGGCTTCGAGTTTGACGTCGGGCTGCACTACGTGGGCGACATCCTGGGCGTGCTCCTCAACGCGGTGACGAGCGGGGTCATCGAGTGGGCCCCGACCGGCCGGCTCGTCGACGAGGTCTACTTTGGCGACGACGTCGTGCCGATCCTCTCTCCGAAGGCGGCCTTCCTCGCAGAGCTGCGCCGCCGCTTCCCATCCGAAGGGGCGGCCCTCCACTCGTACTCGTGGCGCGTGCTCCTCGCCCACGTGTGGCTCGGGGCGCACCTTGGCCTCAAGGTGCTGCCGGCAGCGCTGGCGGCGCCGCTCCTGCGCGCCCTCGGCGGCATGCAGACCACTCAGACCGCCCTGGAGCGCCTCACCGGCAGCCCGAAGCTGCGGCACGTCCTCTCGTACATCTGGGGCACCTACGGCGTGCCGCCCTCCCGCTCGCCCTTCGCCTTCCACCTCGTGCTGCAGAACCACTACTTCAACGGCGAGATGTCGCCGAGATGTCGCCGAGATGTCGCCGAGATGTCGCCGAGGCAGTGCTGCCTGCGCCTCAACACGCGCCATGTGGCCGCCAAAAGTCCCGCGCTCGGCTGCCGTCCACGCCGCGTCCCTCTATTAGCAGCTTGTGCGGGGGAGGCCATGTCCATGACACGTCCACGACGCGTCCGCAGGCGCCTGCTACCTGGTGACGGCGGCTGGTATAGCCGAGGGATAGCCGAGGGCCACCCGAGGAGGTTGCCCGCGATTAGGCGCCTACTACCCCGTCGGCGGCTGCGCGCAGCTCGCCGCGAGGATCGTCCCCACCGTCCTCAAGGCGGGCGGCGCGGTGCTTGTGCGGGCGCCGGTGACGTCGCTGGTCTGCGACGAGGCCGGCGCTGTCCGCGGCGTCGTCGTTCGGGGCCGGCTCGCTCTCCGCGCTGCGCACGCGTCCTTCTCTTCCTTGACACGTGTCTCTGGTCATAGGCGAGCACACTTTCCGCGCCAAGCGGGTTGTCTCGGCGGCCGGCGCCACTACCGCGCCCTTGCCACCTCGTCCACCGCCTTCCGTGTCCCTGTTGACCGCTCTTGCTGGTCGATAGGCGCGACTACCACCTTCTGCCACCTCGTGCCTCCGCCGCAGCGCCACCGCCTCGCGCCGCTGCTCGCATCCATTCGGGACGCGCCGCCGGTGTCACCTCCCGCCTCGACCGAGACGCAGGTCCAGCGCCCTTCATCCCGTCCCTCCACCGAGCCCAAACCCAAACCCTGCCCTGAACCAACCCCATCTCCGAGCCGACCCCAGGTCGAGCCTTCCCTCGCCTTCCTCTACCTCTTCCTCGGCCTCTCGGCCGACGGCGGGGGCGGCGCCGGGGGGAGCGGAGGGAGCGGAGGCGGCCTCCCTCGCCACAACATCTGGAAGTTTGGCGGGTGGGACCACGAGAGGGGCAGCGAACTGCCGCCTCGTCTTGACGACGTGGCGGCCGACCACCCCCTCCTCCTCTTCCTCTCGAGCCCTTCGGCCAAGGACCCTGCCTGGGAGCAGCGCCACCCCGGCAAGCGGGCACAGATGCCTCCGACAGCCGTCAAGCCGTATCACCGTATCCGTAGCGCCACCCACTTGTGCGCACGCACTACTCCGAGGACCCCTTACCCTGCTATAGCTCAGTCATGTCTCGGCCACAGCTCGGCTATTTCTTTAGGCAAGCAAGTCGTCCTCGCCCTCGCGCCGACCCGCTTCGAGTATTGGGCAGAGTGGCGCGACGGGCGCATCCACAAGCGGGGCGAGGCATACGACCGCCTCAAGCGGGCCCTCACCGAACGGATGACGGAGGAGGTGCTGCGCTTGCTGCCGCAGCTGCGAGGCCGCGTCGAGTACTGCGACCTCGGCACCCCGCTCTCGTCCAACTTTTACTTGGGCACGCGCCACGGCGAAGCCTACGGGCTGGCTCACACTCCCGCGCGTTTCGCACAGCCGTGGCTGACGCCGCGGACGCCGCTCCCCGGCCTGTACCTCGCGGGGCAGGACGTCGCGACGGACGGAGTCACGGGCGGCGTCATCTCTGGCTTCATGGCAGCTGGGGCCGTCGACAAGACCGTCTTTGTCGCCGAGGCGGCCACCCTACTCGCCGCTGGGGTCACGGCATTGGCCACATGAGAGAGACCGCGCCGCGCGCGCGTGACGTCTGACGTCGCCGCCAGGTCGCCGCCCCACGCGCATAAAATTGCGGGGCTCATATGTTTTTACCGTACGTACCTAATTATGGAAGTCTCGCCTCCACACGGTTCCCGCTCACAGTTATGATCGCGATGGGCCGGGCCTGCTCCCTCAACGACCTCTCAAGCTGCCGGTTGTAGTAGACGGCCTGTGTCCACATCCAGAGCGATCCCGCATCGGCCAGTGCGGTCGTCGCTCGGCTCGGCGCCGCCCTCCAGCGGCCCATATACAGCCACACCAAGTCTAAGAGAACGCCAAGCGCGTACGCTGCAAGCAGCACCCAACACCAGCGGGCGAGCTTGGACGGCGGGTCTGCACTGTAGTAGATCAGCGCGGAGAGTGTCGGCAGCGCGACAGTATCATCGACCAGGCTCCAGACGTCGCGCCAGTGCAGGCGCTGCGTGAGCAACGTGAACGCCAGCGACACAGAGCTGACGGCGACACACAGCAGGTTGAAGCGAGCAGCCTGGAGCGCGTCGACGTGCGTGGCCGCACCTGTCCTGCCGCACAACCATCTCTCCCACCAAGCAGGTTGGCCCTCCTCTTTGTTCGCGCTCTCGGACCAGAGCGAGTACATAGCTGATGTCTCTCCAGCCTCGCAACCGCGGGTGGGAGGCGCGGCTGGGAGGCGGCGCGGCGAATGGGTTGCGTCCCTCCCGGGTACTGTGAAAGTACTATGAGCACACGAGAATAGATCAAGGATTCCTAAGTCCCGAGAATAAGAATTTTACATGAGGTTACCCACTGCACTCCAAGTGCTCCAAAGTACAAGCCAACTCCGAAATGATCGCAGTGGGCGTCAGAAGAGTCGTCCTTGCGCGAGGAGAGCTCTAAACTCGAGGGGCCAAAATATGCCGCGAGCAGGGCAGAGTTGCGCCGAAAGGCGGGAGAAGCCGCGAGAGCAAGGGAGGGATCGGCAGGCGGCGGCGGCGTCGCAGGACGAGGCAGACGAGAGCGACGCGACAGAGGAAGCATGAAATTTAAGGTGTTGCTCTCGGAATCCAACTGCGTACTACTTGGCAGCACGCTATTGGCATGCCAACGGCTAAGGCCGAAATCGTTATTGTTCACACCTCTTGCAGTTGTGAACACAAAGCTCAAAGGATTGGCTGTATCTACTCAGTTGCTCCGCTTATACTTACCTGCTTCCTGGGACCCAGCGCTGACTTCTGACTGTCGTTGCTGTCTCTCCCTTCTCGACTGTCTCAGTCTGTGCTTGTGCGTCTTGGGTCCGGGATTGTGTTTTTCTGTGAAGCGTGAACAGCGGGACCCAGCGCTGGCTTCTGACTGTCGTTGCTGTCTCTCCCTTCTCGACTGTCTGTGCTTGTGCGTCTTGGGTCCGGGGTTGTGTTTTTCTGTGAACAGCGTCGGCCCCGGGTTGTGCGTTTATGTGAAGCTCTCGCGCGCCGCCGTCTGTGGCGACGCGCAAAACATCAACAACGCTGCTCGCAACATGCGTGCCGCGCACTCATTCATGACCGGTCTCAATGTCCCACCCCCCTGCGCGCGGGCCTTCTAGGCCCGCGGGTAGTATCCCCCCATCCCCAGGGCCTCCAGGGCTCGCACCTCAACCTCTCACAGACCAGCGCATAGGGCCAGGCGACGTATTTCTTCTCATAACAAGGCTGTGAACAGCGTCGGCCCGAAAACGGTACTGCACTCATGTCCATGCCGTCAAAAAAGGTCGTCGTAGGAGCCGCCGTAGCCGCAGTAGTGGTCGCTGCGTGGGTTGCGCTTCTCGTCGCTTCTAAGGACCGCTGGACCGCGGCGCTCAAGGACGCCTCGGACAGCGTGCTCGCTGCAAAGGAAACCGCGCCGCTCGAAGTTGCAGCGAGCTTGGCTGCGGCCATCACGCTAGGCATCGTAGTGCTCGTGCCAACGACGCCGGTTGAGCTTCTGGCTGCCGGGGTATACGGCATTCGCTTCGGTTTCTGCATCGTATGGTCGGGCAAGGCGCGCTGCCGCCTCCCTCACACACACACACACACACACACACACACACACACACACACACACACACACAACTCTCTCTCTCCTCTCCCTTCCGGCGCCTACACCGCGCCGCGCCCCGCAGGTGCTCGGCGGGCTCGCCTCGTACCTGCTCGGCCGCACGGTGCTGCGGAGGTGGGGCTCGCGCGTGACGAGTCGGCACAAGCTGCTGCGCGCCCTCGCGCTCGCGGTGGCGAGGGAGCCGTGGCGCATCTGCCTGCTGGCGCGCGCGGCGGCGGTGCCGGTCCCGCTCAAGAATTACGGCTTCGCGGCTCTGGACGCGCCCATGCTGCCGTACGCCGCGTCGCTGATGCTGGTGCGTGATGCGCCCGCAGCTTGACCGGCCCTCGGCCTTGCGCAGTGGCAGCAGAGAGGCTGAGAGGAGTGAGGGAGCCGGCGAAGCACCCGGGCGCTCGCCACCCTGCCGCCCCTGCCCCTCCGCCCGAGTCGCTCCCCCCCCCCCTCGCTGTGGCCCCGACAGGTGGAGGTGTACAACGTGCTCGAGCTCGTCCTGATCGGCGTGAGCATCACCTCGGCGGGCAGCGCCGCGGTCTCCTCCAGCGACGGCTCGCTTTTCCTCGCCGGCGGAGTCCGGAGTGGCGAGTAATGGCAAGCAAGCTGCACAACAGTGATGTGATGCTAACGTAGGCTCGCTGGCCTCGTCGGCGGAGTGGCTCTCGCTTGCCACGCACGCCCCGTCCGCACGTGCTTCGTCGCGTCATTGTCTGTGTGGTCGTCAGGCGCGTTCCTTCATTTGTTGATTAGGCACGTCACCGCCGCCGCCTGCCTCGTCGGCCTCGGCGGCTACGGCGCGATTGCGACGAGGCGCGTGCCGTTGATTGCCGTTATGTTTCGCCAGCGCCGCAGCTTCTCCCTCGGCGGGTGTTGGCCACCGAGGGGGGGGGGGGGGGGGGCTAGGGTGCGCTGCACTTCGAACCCGGTTTCGCTGCACCCTGCCCCTCCCAGGCGAGCCCTCGACCGGCTGACGAAAGAGGACGAGGCCGAGGCGCGAGGCGAGCACGGACACAGCGGCGGAGGCGGAGGAGCCGTGGACGGCGAGCCGTGCGGTGCGGTGCTGTCGTCGCCGCCGCCGCCGCCAGCGGAGGGGGGGCAGGCGCTCGCATCTTCGGGAACTCCGAGTAAACTTCCCCTCATCGCGAGAGGGGAGGAAAGCAGCGAGCAGCGCTCAATGCTGGAGCGCGGCGCCTTGCGGTCAGACGATACCGCTACCCCTTCCTGACACGTGTCGTAGGAAAATGTGCTGCCAAGCCGCACACAGTTCCGTTTCTTTTTCACGCGGCGGGTGAGTCACGCGCGCCCCCGCTCCCCGGCTCCCCGCTCTCCACAGTCCTCAGTCGATTGCAGTCGAGCTACGCCTCCGGCTTTATATTCTTACTTATTAAATTTATTCATAGCAGTCTCGTGCTCGTGGGACGTGGGGTTGTTCCGTGTACAATTACAGAGGCGTAGAGTGTATATAGCCGAGAAGCGGATGCAGACAGCACTACGGCCCACATAACGGTACTGGCTAGCCACTGTGTATCAGACACCTATCTGTCACTTCACTCATTACATGAGCGCTTCACCTTCATCCCACGCACCGTGCTTGACAGCCAGGGACTGCTCTCGCAACAAAGGGTGGCGAGAGCACGCGCCGTCACTCGGCTCACCGCCCAAAAATCGCACGTCACTCCAAGAAGGAGGGCGTGTCCGCGCAGCGCCACATGTACCACGCCGCCAGCGATCGGTAGGGCGCAAACGGCGCCATCGCCGCCTCGAGCTTCTCCTTGTCGCGCTTCTCGTCGAGCGCGCCATTCTTGCCCGCACCGCGCAGCCCAAAGGCCTCCTTGATGCCGTTCCGCACGCCCAGGTCGCCCGTGGGGAAGATGTCGGGCTGCAGCAGTCCGAACATCTGATACATGTGCGCGGACCAAGGTCCGATGCCCTTGACTGCTGTCAGCTTGGCGTACAGCTCGGCCGCGCTGAGACTCGGGTCGAGGAGCACCGCGTCCGAGAGGTCGCCGCGCTCGTAGTGAGCAGCCAGGTCGAAGATGGAGCGCGCCTTGGCGTTCGAGAGGCCCGCGCTCGAGCGCAGGGCCTCCATGTCCGACGCGAGCACCGCCTCCGGCGTGATGAGGCTCGCGTCGCCGCCGAGGCTCGTGACGAACCGCGCCCAGATGGTTTTGGCGGCAGCGCCGGCGAGCTGCTGCCCGACGACGATCCGGCACAGCGAGCGGAACGTGTCGACGTCCTCCGTGTCCTCGACGTTTGAGTACAAGGTGGGCGCGCCGCAGTTGATCACCACCTTCTCGAGGCGCCGGCCGTCTGCCACCGCGACGTGCCGCACGGCGTCACTTAAGCGAAACCTCTGCGCCCGACCCACGGGAGGCATGCTGGCAAGCGACGCAATCAGCTCCTCACAGCGCGGGTCGAGGACATCATCCGCGCCCTGCGCTCGACGCTTCTTTGCCGCGGGCGTCTCAGTATTCACTGGAGTTGGCCGCGGCCGCGGTGTCGAGAGGGAGCGGCTGCGAGTGGCCATCGATGCCATGATGCACCACAAGAGGCCACTACGTTGCAGAGAGGGCCGGCGTGAGATGGTGCCGGGGGATCTCCGTGGCGCTCGTGCGAAGACGCGCCTTGGCCGCACCGAGCTGGGTTTTCCCAGGTGGCATTGCGGGCACGAAGTAGGTAGGATTCCTACATCGTGGCGACGCCACGACGCACGAGGTCGGCCCGGAGGGCCGGGTAGGAGGGGTCTAGATTACTTCTACCTCTGAGGGCCTCCTTTTTACCTTTACCTCTGGGCAGTCGGCGTGGCAGTCGGCGCCCTTTGTTTGCCTCCAGCCCTCCCGCCACGAAGATCCTCCCTTGTCCGACCGTCCCTCCGAGCCCACCCGGCGTCCAAGGAGGGGAACGGTTAGCCCTGTGGAGCCCTCCCGACGCCGATCCGACATGGGGACCCCTCCAGCCCTGTGGGCTGGCGAGCCCTCCGGTCGGAGGGTTGGAAGTGGGAGGGCTCGAAGACGGACCTCTCTCGCTCCGGGAGGGTGGAGGGGTGGAAGGTGGAGGGGTGGTCGTGGGTGTGGAGGGGGGTGGTTGAGCCCTCTAGCTCTGTCGATGTAGCCCTACCCCTCCCGCCGTTTTAGGGCCTACCCACCCGCTATGTATGTCTCAAACGCGATTTAATGGAACAAAAATGTGATCTCGAGCGAGGTGCAGCGCGTCGGGTCGCTCAGGGGTGTCCCTCCTCCCTCTCCTGCCGCCGAGCCCGCAGCGCCACGAAGGTGGGTGTCTTCTCGCCCGCGACGCCTCTTCTAGTTACCAATAGATGCAGCCTCGAGAGGCTCCACCGCCGTGTCGACAGTGGGCAAGTTCGCCGCCCGCCATGCGCGCACTCCGCCCTCCACACAGTGGACCGCCGCGCCCGCCAGAGTGCCGTCGCGCCGATACTGCTGCAGCGCCGCCAGCGAGTCCGCGCCGTCGCCGCACGTCAGCAGCACCGGGCCCTCTGCCGCCAGCGCAGAGAGCCACTCGTTAGAGGCAGCGTGGAAGGCGACGGCGCCGGCGGAGGGAGGACGAACAAGACGCTCCGCCCCACGGACTGCAACCACACCGGCGGCGATCTCGGCCGGATCTCGCACGTCGACGACCCGAACCTAATCTCGGAGAACACCTCGCGTCACCTCGGGCGATCTGGGACGGACGGGCGGCGGCGACGCCGCGCGCGTTTTCTTCGTCCGCGAGGAGGCGGAAGGCCTGTTCACAGCCGGTGGCGTGAACAGACGCCGTTCACAGCCGCACGCGCGAGTCACTTGACAGGCCCTCCCGAGGGGCGAGAACTGTAATCTCGGGCAATCTCGCGCAATCTCGGGTAACCTCCAGAGGGGTGAGAACGCTCTCGCCGCCGCCACCGCCTCCGCCTCCGCTGCCGCCTCTGCCGCCGTCGACGCTGTCAGCGCTGCCGCCGCTGTCGCTGCCAAAGCTACCGCCGACCTCCTTGTACGTCGCGTGCGTCGACGGCGGCCGAGGCGGCGGTGGAGAGGCGCAAGCGCGCAGCGCGTCCGCTGCGGAAACTGCGACGGCGGCGGCCGAAGCTGGCTGTTCTTCTGCTGCGTCTGGAAGCGGCCGGTCACCTCCGTTGCCTTCGGCGGCAGCCTAAGGGAAGGCAGGTGGTCAGAGACACTCCTTCACACGCCGGTGCGGGGCGAGGGCCCTGTCAACACACGCGCCTCTGAGCCAGCAAAACCCGCGGCATTGAAAGTGCGAGCCCAGTGCGCGTGGGTGGGCAGTGTGGGAGGGAGCGAGGGAGTGCGTGCGTGCGTGCGTGCGTGCGTGCGTGCGTGCGTGCGTGCGTGCGTGCGTGCGTGCGTGCGTGCGTGCGTGCGTGCGTGCGTGCGTGCGTGCGTGCGTGCGTGCGTGCGTGCGTGCGTGCGTGCGTGCGTGCGTGCGTGCGTGCGTGCGTGCGTGCGTGCGTGCGTGCGTGCGTGCGTGCGTGCGTGCGTGCGTGCGTGCGTGCGTGCGTGCGTGCGTGCGTGAGGGAGGGAGGGAGGGAGGGAGGGAGGGAGGGAGTGTGTGTGTGTGTGTGTGTGTGTGTGTGTGTGTGTGTGTGTGTGTGTGTGTGTGTGTGTGTGTGTGTGTGTGTGTGTGTGTGTGTGTGTGTGTGTGTGTGCGTGCGTGCGTGCGTGCCTCGAAGCTTGCGGCGGCGGCGGCGGTGAGCGTGTCCGAGAAGAGCTCGCGCGCGATCGCGGGCGAGAAAGTGAAGGTGTCGAGGCCTGCTCACACGGCTCAACGTGGGAAGAGTCGCTCGTGGCGCCGCCGGCCGAGAAAAAGGACGCGTCGAGGCCGGCAGCGGCGAGGCGAGAGAGCGACGCGGCGCGGCGGATCGACGCGGCGAAGATGCGAGTGCCTAACCCTCTCGGTCAATCTCGGTCAACCTGGATCCGCCTCGGGGCACGCGGCGAAGAGAGGGGGGTGCCGCCGCCCAGCCCGCGCGCGATGGCTTGCATCGCCTCCAGCTCTGCGTGCGCGTCGTGCCCCGCGTCGCCGATACGGCCGAGGTACGGCGCGAGGTACTCGGCGCCTGATCTCGGGACATCTCGGGTCAGTCGCGGCTCGATCTCGGGTCAATCTCGGCGAGGTGCTCTCGCGGCGCGCCGACTGCCGTAGCGACCAGCGCCTGCTCTCGGCTGTAGCAGGCAGTCAGGCAGACTCGTGTGCCGGCGCTGACGAGGCGAGCGGCGGCCGCGGTGCCGTCGGCCGTGACTGGCACCTTCACCACGATCCTCTCCGGATTGGCTGACCGGAGCGCTAGTCCGGACGCGACGAGGGAGTCCGTGTCTCCGCCCCACGCCTGCGCCATAAATTCGGCGGCGCCGAGCTCGAAGGCGGTGCGAGCGAGCCTGTGGCACTCGCCCACGGTGCAGCGAACGCCGGCTCGCTCCAGCAGCACCGGGTTAGTCGTGACGCCGTGGAAGATGCCGAGCGGGAGGAGGGCTTTCCACTCTCGCACGTCAGCAGTGTCCAGGAAGAAGCGGCTCGCGCCGCGAACGGGCGGCGGCGGAACGAGGACCGCGCAGAGTTCGAGCAGTAGCGCGAGCATAGGATTCCTTGTGTGTAGTGGGCTGAGGGCGTTGGGGCGCAATTACGGCTCGATTGAAATACTAGTATCTAGATAACCGGGTACCCAATTGTGCTGGTCTGTGAGAGGTTGAGGTGCGAGCCCTGGAGGCCCCGTCCTCTCTCTTGTCGCAGTCCCTCGCCAGTTCTCCCACAGTAAAATGTTTGCCCATCAGCCATCTGAGCGAAGGTGTGTCACCCGAGACCCGTAAAAAATCTTTCAGGGCAGGCAGAATTACTGCCGCAACCGCTGTCTGTCATGTGTGTATGGCGTTCGGCCCGTGGACGTTGGCGGCGGGGAATGGGGAATGGAAGCTGCCGTGGAGGCCACCCTCCGCACGCATCTTGATGGGCTCTCTCAACTCTACTGAGAGCGACATAATCTGGCTCGGTGCTACGGTGCTGTGACCGCGGGAAACCGTTACGCACAAGTCACTCAGGTGGCAATATGCTTCGGCCATTCAAGCGCCAGACACGGCGGTGTACTGGTACCACTATGATACAAAAGCTTGCGGCTTCGGATGTCATCACTCCCGTGAAACTCAATGCTGCCGGCACGAGTAACGGCGAAAATAAGTTTTCGTGGCATTTGAACGGCGATGGGGGCTATCGATCAGGAATGGACAGTGCTTTCTCCAACCAGGAGTGGAGAAAGGTCATCTACGGGTGCAACGAAAATTGCTGCGTCCTGCGAGGAAGAGCAATAACGCGGAGAAGCATGAGCTAAAGGGCGAGGGTTCGGGGAGCATGGCAACACGGTCCATGCTGTTCGAGTCTTTGGTCTTATGTCTCTTTTCGATCTCTACTTCTTCGATTCGATTCGTCGGTTGGTCCATCGAGAGTCTAGACGGTTTGCTTCCTCGGTTCGCTTCTTCGATCCTCTTCTCCGAGAGAGCTCGCCTCGCCTCAGGCACACTTGCTCGCACGAACACAGACAGAGAACGGACACAAAAGGGCAAGCACGATGTGTCTCGCCTCGAACTTTCGTCGTGGGGAAGCCTCTTACCATCTTGAGGGGGCGATTTCCCATATATAGGGGGGGGGGGGGGGGGCGATATTTTTTCGCGCGTAAAGAGCCGTATTTCGAAACTGTGGCAGACATAATTTCACACACTTCTCTTCTGACACTGTATAGACCGCTGTCCTCACTCAAGAGGCCCCTCGAGGCACGTGAATGCTCGGTGGGCGCTGGATGCTCGGCAGAGACTTGAGGTGTTTCGCTCCCTCCCTTGGTCGTCCGGTCGCCCGGCCCTCAAGGGCCATGGAGACGGGCGGTCGCAACAATTCGGGCGTGCTGGCATTGGCAAGGCTCGACGTCCCGCCGCGAGAGGGTGGCAGAGCGATCGGCGGCCCCGTCGCTAGCGGAACCTGTGCTGGTGCCGGTAGCAAAGAAACCTGGGGCGGCGTCGGCGGCGAAACCTGTGGCGAAGCTGACGGCGAGGCTGAACGCTGCACAAGAGACGAGTGGGCGACGTTGGCGGCGACCGGGCGGCTAAAAGCCAATGGCGAGCCGCTAGCCTGGGCGAGCGAGCCCAACGCGGAGATCAAGCCGGGCGCTTCCGACGCCTCACGGGACGCATCTCGTGATATTGGCTGAGCAGAGTAGCTGCCGCTCGGCTCGCGCGAAACTTGAGGCGGCGACTCACTCGAGTGCTCCACGACCCCAGGACTTGAACGGCCCGAGTCGTGTCTGCGCTGCAGTGGCTCGTAGTAGCCCGTCTCACCCAGCACCCGCTCGATGCATCGCTGCAGCTCGGCGTAGGTGAGGCGATGGTGGCGCGGCCCGTCCTCTTCGCCGGCTCCAGCGTCTGCCGACGCGCTGCTGCCGAGCTCTGGGACGTGAATGGCGGTGTCGATCATCACGTCGGTACCCGAGAGTACCTTGTTGAGCTCGTCCTTGAGCGACCAACCGCGCGCATGGTTGCGGCGCGAGAACAGAGCGTGCTTGTACCGCTCGACGAGTCGCCGCTCGGTGGACACGTGGACCGAGGGCGGCAGCTGCGAGATGAAGAGGATCTTGTGTAGCTGGTTCAAAATGCGCGAGCAAGGGTCTTGAATCTCCTTGATTCGCGCCGGCGAGATGGAGAGCATCGGCGATCGTACCTCACGTGGTGGCCTCGCAAGGCGCAGCGGCGACGAGTCGCGCGATCCTGGCGCCGGTTCAAGCTGCTGCCGCGCGAATAGGCGGTGGACCTGCTCGCGCCTCTTCTCCACCTCGCGCTCGTGCTTGAGACATGCCTAGGGATCACGGATCGGCGCGCCTCGAAGAGTGAGGAGAGCGGTGGGCGAGAGACACGTACACGCGTGAAGCACGCGCAACAGTCGTTTGCGATGGGGAGCTGTGTGATGGGGCAACCAACCTCTCGCTCAGCGCGCAGCTCGTCACGCAACGCGAGTCGCTCATGAGTCGCCTACCACCGTGCCATGCGTAGGGCGGCAGCCGGGGCGGGGAGAGACGCCCTCTCGGGGAGCCGCCTCATCGAGCTGGGTCATCAGCTTGGGCGAGATGAGTCGCGCGACGTCGTCAATGTCGGGCCGGCGCGCCGGGTCTGCAGTGAGCATTGCGCCAACCGCCGATAGCAATAACGGCGACCGCCCGTCTGGCACAGGCGGGTAGTTGGCCTCGACGATGCGCGCCGCGACCACGAGTGGGTTGCCGCCCTCAAACGGCGGCCTCAAGGTAGCCATCTGGTAGAGGATGCACCCGAGCGACCTACTCTAGCCCCAGCACCTTTGAGCGCCGGATCGCTGCACACCTTCAAAGATAGCCGCTTACAGCTGGGCGCCATATGTCGGCCTTTTCGCTGTAGGCCTCGTGCTGGATGAGCTCGGGGCACTGGTAGAGGACCGATCCGACGACCGACTCCATCACCGAGTTGGTTCCGAGCCGCTGTCGCGCCTGGCAGATGGGCGGGCCCCGTCTGAGCAGCGCACGGCGGATCGCCGCGGCGGAGAAAGCTTGGGCAGCGCACCAGTCCAAAGTCGGCGAGCTTGACGGTGTTGCCGTCCGCGAGCATGATGTTCGAGGGCGTCAGGTCCCGGTGAACCACTTGCTTGACCTTGTGGCAATAGCGCAGCGCCATGCAGACCTGGCAAAAGATGTGCCACAGCCGCGTCTCGGGCATCGTATCGCCCCGCTCGTCGATGGCATTCAGGTGGTCCAGGAGCGTAGAGCCGTCCACAAGCTCCATCACGATGTAGAGGTACGCGTCCTCGACAAACGAGTCGTAGTACCGGATGATGTTTGGGTGTTGCAGCGACCTCAGGATCCCGACCTCCCGCTCGAGCAGCTTGGCGCACGCGGCCGCCCCATCATCCGCGGCGCCGCCAGCGGCGCCGCCAGCCTCGCCGGGCTCGAACGCCTCACCGACCTCATCAATCGGCAGCTCCTTCATCGCGTAGAGCGCCTCGCCGGAGCCCTTGAGCTTGACTTGGTACACCGAGCCAAACCCGCCCTTGCCGAGCAGCTCTTGCACGGCGTACTCGCGCACAAAGCGCTGCTCGGCGCGAACGCGGTCGAGGTTGATGTCGGCGAACGCCTCGCCGATCTTTGCATGCGCCTCAGCAGACAGCGCGGCGAACTGCGCCGCGAGGCGGCCGTACGCTCCGAGCTCATGCACGTACTGGCCGAGGTCGATGAAGGCGCCGAAGAGGTCGGGAGGGAACAGCCGGCGGAAGACCTTCCGGTTCCGCTCCATCGAGTAGAGGAAACGCAAAGCGCGAAAGACGTGCGCCATCACCGGACCCGGCGGCTCGGCTGTAGCGCCAGCCGTAGGCACACCGTTCAGTGTGGGCGGGGGCGGCGGTGACGGCGGAGAGCGTGGTGCCGTTGCGGCTTCGAGAAGCTGCTTGCCGAGCAGGAAGACGCCGTTGGCCTTGCGGACCTGGGCTCGCGCGGCGTGGTGTGAGCATCTCGCGCCGAGAGATCCCCTCCCGGGGACAATGGCGGGGTTCGTTGAAGGAGGGCGGCCGAGCCTGCAGCGCAGCGTCTTGGTCGAGTGACAGAGTCGCGAGGACAGCGACGGCGCCGATGACCACGTCTGTGGGCGGTGACGACCCGTCCTCGCGCGGCGCGAGGATGGAGAGCAGCAGTTGGATGCCCCCCACCTGCCGCACCTCTTTTGCCGAAGGCGGATGAGCCACCTGCTGATGGCACCGCAGTGGTTCAGCGGGGCCGGTGGAGTTGCTCGCGAGGGAGGAGGCGAGCGCGTCAACGGGGCTCGATCTGTGGCATCTAGCAGCTTTGGCCAGCCGGTGCAGCGAACGGAGCAAGTGCGGCGGCAGCTTCTCGTCACCGCAATGCAGCAGTGATAATAGCACCAGTGCGCCATCATGCGCAACGACCTCGCACATCCTTGGGCACGGGGATGGGAGGTCGATGGTAGCAAAGTCGGGCGAGTGCAACAGCAGCTCGAGCAGCTCTGCGGCGGGCACCTGCACACGGCCAGCCTTGCTTGGGAGGCGGAATGGTTGGGACGATAGGGCAATTGGGCGGGGCGCTTTGAACGAGGGCTCGTAGTCGGCGACGATCCGCAGTAGCGACTCGGCGCAGGCGAGGCTGCCGATGGCGCTTCGGTGGCGGTCCTGCACAAAATTGTAAAGCGCGACGAGTACGCACTGCAGCACCAATGCCTCGCGCGTCGAAAGGAGCGAAACCAGCGCGCCGTGCAGACGCGCCACCAGCGACACTCCGCTGGCGCCGGCCCTCGACGCGCAGCCTTCCGCTGCCCCGACAGCTTCGGCAGAGGACGCCGCGGGGTGCAACCCGCCACCGCCGCCGCTAGGGCGGCCGCTCGCGTTTGCAACCACCCGGAGCTGTGCCGGCGAGGTGTCTCGCGAGGGCGAGAGGGGCGTCGAGGCGGAGGACGCCTGCCCTGGGCTCGAACCGGACCAGAGGCGACGAGGCGCAAGCGGCGGTGGTAGAGGCGAGCCGCCGTCGCTCGTCATCGAGTCAGACGGCGGCGTGGGTGGGGGGAGCAGCTCTGGAAGGGCAGCGAAGCGCTTCAGGATCGAGAGCGTCTCGACGAGCATCCCGCAAAAGAACTCGGAGTCGGGCGCGGAGAAGTGCTCGTCGGCTAGCTCCACGCAGAGCTCCACGAGCCGCGCCACCGCGCCAGGCGTTTCGACAAAGGTGGCTCGGTGCTGCGCATCGCGCATGAGGACGCGCATGCACTGCATCACAGCCAGCTGCGCGTCCCGCGGCTCCATACGCTTCCACGCGTTGGCGCACAGGAATCGACGGTTGACGAGCAGCAAAAAGGCGGAGCCAAATTTGGCCGCGGAGAAATCGTACCGCCTCGCATGCTGGAGCAAAAAGTCGTGCAGCGCCTGCTTGTCCGCCTCGAGTGCCGAGCCAGGAGGACTGCGCAGCGCCGTGGAGAGGGCTCCCAGGCAATCGGCCTCGCCAGACCGCCCCGCTGCGGGGCACATCCCAGACCGCGGCCCCGCCGCAGCGCCCGTTCGGTGCGTGTAGTCGGCGATATTCCTCGTTTCAGCGCGATGAAACCCGGCGGCGTGAAACCCTAATTTGGCTTGAATTTTGTGTGTTTTTCTTCTTCTCATTTGCTCCCAATCGACAATGCCGCGCGATAGCTCGCTGCCTGCGCTGGCCGCCCGGCTCACGCCTCGCGCGCCGCAGCAAGGCCAGCAGCCACCCTCGGCGACCCTGCGAGGGCAGCAGCCACCCTCGGCGACCCTTCCGACCCTTCCACTGCTCGGATCACTCTTGCTCGCGGCGTGCATCACGTCGCTGCCCATGTTTCGTGGCCCACGATGGCTCAAGTCGATCTTTGCTCGCGCAGCACGCTCGATGAAGCGCGTGCCCGCGTGGCACTTCACGCCGCTCGCCGGCACCAACCTCGTCATTGGCGCAGTTCCGACAGCGGACGAGCAGTTGCGAGAGCTGCAGGACGACGGGGTGACCGCGGTGGTCACCATGAACCAGGCCTGGGAGCCGCAGGCGCCGGGTGGCGTACAGGCCGCCTGCGGGCGTGTGGGCCTGGCGCACCTCCAGTTGCCGACGCCCGACTACTCGTCTCCGAGCCAGCGGGATATACGCAGGGCCGTCGACTTCATCGGGGCGCACGTCGACGAGGGCGGAAAGGTGTACGTGCACTGCAACGCGGGCCGCGGCCGCAGCGCAGTGTGCGTCCTCGCCTACCTCATGGCTTCCGGCGGCCTGAGCGCGAGAGAGGCGTACGAGCTCGTCGCCGCGCAGCGGCGTATCACGAACCTACCATCGCGGCTGCTCGGCTTCCGGCGGCCGCAGTGGAGGGCGCTGCGCAGGTACGAGGCCGCGCTGGCAAAGAGAGGGGCAGGGACGCGGAGGGAGGAGGAGGGAGGGAAGAGTTGACACGCATGTCTACGTGCCGTCAGACGGAGAATTTTTTTGGAAGGAATATTCCGCCTTTTTTTCTTTTACACATCACCGACGACGACGCGCCAGCTCGACGGCGACGACCCACTGCATCTCATGTACTACCAACACCCTCCTCCTAGACCAATCGGACACCCGCCGCTGCCACCAGGGCCACCGCCCGCGCACGCGTTTCGAGGAGCCGCTTGGGGCGGCGGGCCGCCGCAGTCTGTGCCCATGCCGCTCCGCGCACTGCCGCCACTACCGCCGCTGCCACCGGGTCCTCCTCCGGCACACGCGGCGATGTTTGCTCCGCGCATGGCTGCGCCATACCCTCCCGGCGGCGGCGCGGTCGCGCGCCCTCCCACCAGCGCTGCTGTGGGCCCTCCTCCCGGCGTGCCGGCGAGCGGAGGCAAGGGCAAGAAGGGCGGCGGCAAGGGCGGCGGCAAGGGCGGTGGCAAGGGCGGCGGCAAGGGCGGCGGCAAAGGGAGTGGCAAGGGCGGCGGCAAGGGCGGCGGCAAGGGGAGCAAAGGTGGCGGCAAGGGCGGCAAGGGTGGCAAGGGCGGTCGCGGCCGCCGAGGCGAGGACGGCGGTGGGATGGTTGACGAGGAGGAGGAGGCGCGCCGGCGGCTCGGCCCGATCAAGGTGTCGACTCCGGAGGAGATTGCGACGTGGATTGCTGAGCGTAAGCGTCACTGGCCCTCGGCCGCCAACGTCGCGCGCAGGGAGGCGGAGGAGGCGGCAAGGCTGGAGTCCGGCGCGGCAGCGAAGCATACACCGCAGGGCCGCGGCGGCTGGGGCAGCGGGCGCGGCGGCGGGCGCGGCCGCGGGCGTGGCAAGGGCGGCGCTGCTGCCGCGGCAGGCGATGCGTCGCTCGCCGGGCAGGCGATGCCGTCAAGGGTGCCGCCTTCGGCAGCGTACGCGTCGACGACCGGGCAGGCGGCGGCTGCTGGCAGCAGCGGCGGGGCATGCACATGTGCATGTGCGGAGGCGGCATCCGGAGAGAGCTCGTCGCTCGGCGCCCTCAGCGCACTCAGCGCGTTGTACAGCGATTCGGAGGAGGAGGGGGAGGAGATGCAGGGGGGGGTGCAGGAGGGGGCGGTTTGCGATGCAGGCGGCGGCGTTGGGCAGGATGCAGAGGGGCAGCCGGCGGGCGAGGGGATTGGAGGCGCGTCAGAAAGGGCGGAGGGGGAGGAGTCTGCGAAGGGCAGCAGCAGCGACAGCGACAGCAGCGGCGGCGACGACGACGAGTGCGCAGAGGGCGGCGGGGTGGTCGCAGCCAAGGGCGGCGGCGGTGGGGCGGCAAGCGCCAAGCGGCCGCGTGCGTGCCACCATTTCGCGAAGGGGACGTGCCGCTTCGGACAAAAGTCCGCGGATGCCCCGCATACCCCGAGCCGCCCCGCATCCCATCGCGCGGGCTCACTCTTCCCGCGCACACACCGGCAGGTGTCACTTCTCGCACGACCCCGCCGACGCCGAGGCGCTACGGGAGGCGCATGCGCGCAAGCGGCAGCGCGGCAACGGGCGGGCGGACGGCGGCGCGACCGCCCCGCGCCGCCAGCCGACGCTGCTGCAGAAGCTATTCGCGAAGGAGATCCGCGCCGAGCGTTCGCTGCTACTGCAGAGCTTTCGCGTTTTGGTCGACATGATGCCATCTCCAGAAGACGAGCCGAGCCGAGGTGCTGCGCGGGACGGCGCGAGAGGAGTGTTCTCCTAAAGCGCGCCCTTCGTTTTCTCTTATCT